GGGGGGGAGGAATTAAACCGGGCTCCTCGGCGATGAGAAAGGGAGCGGCAGGCTCTGTATAGCCCACCAGGAGCTCCCGCAGCCGCTGGCAGCAAGGGCAGAGCTGTCCCATTTTCAGGGTGCCGGCGGGACCCGCAGGCCGCTTCCCGGAGGGCTCCCAGCGGGTTGCTCGGCGGGCACCAGCCGGCTCGCATCCCTTTGGGTTTGCTTATTTAGGTATTTCTGGCACGGCTCTCGGCCCGCCCCTGCAGCCGCAGGTGCCGCCGCGGGGCCGGCGGAGCAGGGCGCTGCCCCGCTGGCGACCCGCGGAGGATGCGCGGATGCGGAAGGGGCACGGCCTAGGCGCTGCCCTCTGCCCTGCCGGTGGGGAGCCCTCGTCCGCCCCTGCCCCGGCTGAGCCGCTTGCCCGGGGGTAGCTCCAAATCCTTCCTGCTGGAGACAGGTCCTTTCAGTGCTCTAACCTTTGCGGGGCCGAGAACCTGCGCCGCCCTTTGTCATAGCCGGGGGCGGCAGCGATGGGCTCTGTCCCCCTCTAGGCTCGTATTGCCGGGTGTAGTGAATTTGCTGAGGCTGTATATCCACAAATAAAGCGATGACAGGGTACCCGATCTACTTCAGTAGTGTGAGGACTTTGTACAGCACGCCACTCACAGAGAGGTAGGCGAGCTCAAGGAAAACGCTTTGCAAAATGAGGGCAATGGTACAGCTACTGCTTTCGCTGCGACCGAAGGGAACAGAGGATTGTTGCAGCCTGGAAGGCAGATCTGTCTTCGAAATTGATTTTGGCTGTTTTAGAAGGGGAGTCAAAGCAAAAATCACAAGAATGCTGTTGGACTGAGCCTGGAAGTGAAACTGAGAGGACATCAGGAACAGTAAAAGCCTTTGCAGAAACTCTATCAGATCCATCACCATGCCTGTAAGGCGATGAGGATACTTCACTTTCTCTGAACAATAGGAGAGAAATTTGCTCTGAGATCCAGGGCTACTTCTAGGCTAGGCATGTGGGGTGCAATTATTTCCTCTTTCATCAGCCACTGGAACTACCATTTTGTTGAAACCATATCCTTTGGGTGTAATGATGCCTTTTCTGGTGAGCTCTTTGCTTTGAAAAGGGGGAGGTGAAGGTGGATAAGATGTCTTCCAGGGCATTCGGTTGATTTTCAGCGGGAAGGAGAGAGCCGTCGTGTCAACCACGGCAAGGAGGGGAGTCTTAGCAGGTTGTTTTTTTTGGTTTGTTTTTTGTGGGTTCTTGTTGATTTTTTTTTTTTCCTGTTGAGAGTACGTCTTCGTGTCTTAGTAAAACGTGCTAAAAGCTCCACTTTCGGTGGCAAACATGACGCCGAGGGGAGAGAAAGTAACGCGATACATAAGCGGTTGGGCGGGCCGGGGTGTTGCATGGAGTGACATGGCAGGATTCCATAAAGAAGCCACTATCACCTCCAGCTAGGAGAAGAGAGCAGGTCCCACTCAAGTAGTCCTTCCTCTAGGGGATCTTCTGTCGTTCCTGTTTCTATTTCCGGTCCCCCAGATTGCTGGAGAAACAGGGGTAAGATGAAGCATCCCTTAATATTTCTGTCGATGACGTTTCCAGGCACCGAAGCATTAAGTATCTGCAGCCTTGCTGACTTCATGTAACCCCCCACGATAAAAGGTCACATCAAATATTGACCTCAGGCAGGATTGAAACAGAAATATTTTCGGCCAAGATCACAGAGCATTGGACTACCGTTTAATTCGGATACCGTTTTAATTATTAAATACGTCAGAAATTTAAAATTACAGCAGTACTACAGATGCGAATGACAGCGGAAGCTCTGGGTATGAGTGATGCGTCTTTTGGAAAGATGAAGTCGTGGGCAATACCCAGATCGGAGATCTGGGGGCAAACCCCACCCTTTTTCCTCTTTATTCTGGAGGAAAAGAAAGGTAACAGCCGGTCAGCTCCAAAGGAAGAGGGGAAGACCCCCCCATTTTCCCGCGGAGAGAGGGTCACTATGACGTTAGAGGGATGCGGGCGGCGGGAGCTGGCGCTGCCCAAGGGAGCAACCAAAGGTGTCGGCACCCCTTTGAGGGGCGGCAGGGAGGCTTCTGTCGTGCCCCATCCGAGCTGAGGGCGCATAGGGCTCCGGACGTCGGGGACCCCGGCCCGTTGTGGGACGGCCGGAGCACTCCGCTTCCCGGGACCCCCAGGGATGCTGCGGCGTGGAACGTGAGAGCCGGTCCCTCTCTCCTCCCCTACGGCGAAGTTCTCCTTGGCTCTGCGACGTTTGCGGTAAAGGCCAACGAAATCCCGCTGCCCTCGCCGTGCCCGGTGCTGTCCGGGTTGGCTCTGCCTCGTCGGCCCTCGGCAACAGCGGCCGGAGCTCAGCCTCGCCGGCGGGCAGCACGTGGAGCGCCGGGAGCCGCGGCGAGGCCCCGGGAGGAGACCGCCGGTGTCCGCCCGGAGCACGGGGCTGCCCCGCCGTCCCACCGGTGGGACCGTACCCTCCCGGCCCTTGCCCGGGCACCTCTCGTTGTGCTGCCGCCGCCCCCTTCCCTGCTCTCCCACCGCTCATTCTGAGCTCATTGCCCTCTTTGCCCCGGCGCTGGGCGTGCAGCTCGATGAGATGCAGCTGGCGCACGGTTCCGCCCAGAAAGGACGCGCTGTGCTGCCCGCCTGGCGCATCTTCCCGGCTTCCGACGTGCCCTTCTGCCGGGTGAAAAAGGAACCGCGGCTGGGAATAGAGAGATAATAGTAGAGGGGAAAAAAACCCCCAAAAAACCCAAAAAAAGGCAGACAATTTATTAGTGCCTGCCCGACTATAGTGTCGGCAACCATTTCAGTGTAATTCTGTCCCATTTTGTCCAAAACACATCTGTTTGTGGAAGAAGGAGCGACAGATGCTGAAGTGCCCATAAAAGACGTTAGCGACCATACCTCTTTTCCAGTGTGACATTTTACTGGAGAGAATGTTTCCATCTTCAATCAACAAAATGAGTATGGTTCTCTCTGCCCCGGCTGACATATGTATAGAAACCACTTGAATGGAATTTTCAAGGTTATTCTCATTATCATCGTCATAATATTCACCTTCCTCCTCATCATCATTCATCATCAATAATTTTTCACCATAATAACCGGTTTTAGAATAAAAATTAACTCCCCGAAAAGAAACTGCACGGTTCGGTTTCTTTATACAACTTTTCTTCCACATCTGTGGATAAAGTCCGTTTCGACCTGAAAATTATGAAAATAGGCAAACCATCTTCGTTTCAGGTGGAGTGGGTCAAATTTTGCCAGCACAAGTCCGAAGTTTTCCAGTGCCAGTGCCAACTTTTATTTGCATTTTTACAGTTCGCTGTCCCCCTCCTTCCCCCATACTCCAGGCACATCTTTAAAAGCAGACGCACATTTAAATACCTATCCGAAGTGAACAAATGCTAGAAATAAAACATTCAAAGTGGCTACTCGTTCTCCTGGTTTCACGTTCAGCAGAGTTGCCCCAGCCATGTGTCTAGCAGGGAAAAGGGCACTGAGGAGATACACATCTCTAACTCTTTCACTATATATAGACTTGCATGTACACTTACAGGAGGATAAATACGTCCATTTTAGAATCTTAAAAAATTTTAAATAAGACGGTTCTGGGATGTAAATAATCGTTGAAAGGCTTAAGCTTCCGTCTCTTGTTAATCGAGATCAGCGTTTCTCGAAAGGACATTGACTGCCCCAACGTCTGTGCTGAACTTGCAGATGAAAGTGGTTAAAGCAACCAAACCCCGAGAAGATTTTTATCGCATATTGAGCGGCATACAACGTTTTTACACCAGTTCTGCAATTCCCAGTCCATCTGAGGACATATTTCGTTGTGTCGCTGGGACAGCTGCACCCATGTTCTGGGGCTGGTTAACTGGAGGAGGTGTTACCGGGGCGTTCGGTAGAGCTCTTAGCCACGACATCTTCAGTCAATAGGCAATTAACCCGAGACGAATATTTACAGACCGAGGACACTTCGGAGCCTGGTTCTCGTTCGTTTCAGCTGCATTTCAGTCCAAGTGTCTTCGGTGGCCGTTTATTTTTCGGGTTCGTTTTCAAACCCAGCCCCCGTACCCGCAGCGCACGTATGGCAGCATCTCTCTCAGCACTTCCGAAATCAAGGACGGACGCCCAACAATGCAGGGGAAGAGCGAGTGCCTCCTGCACGCCTGGGGCTGCTCGGGGCTCAGGCCCGCCGGAGAAGGAAGGGTCGAGCATCTCTTTGCCGCAGGGCGCGGCGGTGCCAAGGGGCAGGAGTCGCTCGGCTCAGAGGGAAGGCGGGGGAGAGGCAGCAAACCTGCCGGGAAACGCCTCTTCGGACTTGCATCTTCTCGGAAACGAGAGATGCGGAGGGAAGAGAGGAGACGAAAGCTCTTCCTGCGAGAGCTGTGGGGAGCCGGGAGCCGCTGGCAGCCGCCCCCCGCTCGCTCCCTGCAGCGCCTGTTCCACACTAGTCCTTTCCCTTCGCTGCTCTCCCGCGAAACCCAATCTCGCCAGGAAGCTAGGAGTGTGCATGTCTTTATTTCTCACGCAGTAAGGCTATGACTACATATATGTTCCTTTTTTTCTTGACGTTGCTCCTGAAATCGAACTCTAATTTTTAACATCGGGGGAACAGCAACAGCCATACCCCCGCTGAGGCTGGAGGGAAGGCGGAATCCTTCGATGGAACCGGGACAGCCGGCCACAATAAAGAAAATAGCAGAGAGTGGAGTTGGAAGCTCGTTCAGCCTCTCCTAGGGCGAGCTGAGGGTGCCACGGCAGAAACAGGGAACTCTCAGCCCACGGAGCGCTGATGGGGGTGGGGACGGGGGGGGAGTTAAAAATGCCCCACGGAGCGCGAAATGAGCGCTTGACGGGCGAGGCGTACGGAGAGGGCTCGGCCAGGGAGCACGGATTCATTGCAGCCCGGGCTCGATCAGTGTCTTTCCATTGTCATCCTCCCCCTAAAAAAAAAAAAAAAAAAAAAAAAAAAAAGGGAGAGGGAGAGGAGAAAAAAGTAGGCGGATTGCAGTGACTGACTGCCCAATGGCAGCCCCGGGCCTCAGGAGAGTTACAGAGAGGGAGAGAGAGAGAGAGAGAGGCACTTTCTGCCATCCAAATCCCTTAAACCATCCTCATTCCGACACGAGAACCCACTGTAACAACTTCCAACCACTGAGACATGACAGGCAGGAGCCCAGAGGCAGCAGCAGCAGCAAGAGCAGCAAGAGCAGCAGCACACACTCTGCACAGGGAGCAGCATTAGCACCAGGGGAATACTACACACAACAATACAAACAAACAAACAAACAAACAGACAAAGCCCCCCCAAGCCCAAGGGACTGGATTCCAACTCAGATTCAAGCCACAGCTGACACCAAAAAGGGTGGGGAATTACGACCAGGGGGGGCCAGAAAGGAATAACCAAGGAAGCGAACTCAAGAGTGTAAACGGGATTCAGCCATGATCCTTTTTTCTTCTCGCAGTGTGTTACTCTCAGTGTATTACCCTCAGATTTTCCTCATCCTTACCAGTGGGAGTTACCTGTAAGTGATCCAGATTTTTTTTTTTTTTTCCAAATACTGTTTGCAATGCCCCCGCTAGCAGCTACCTAGGGGCAATGCGCAGAGCGAGCAGAGGGAGCCGGGAGAAGCCAGCACGGGCAGCAGCTCCGTGCGGTGCGTGGTGGTGAGGATGGTGGTGGTGGTGGCGGCGGAGGAGGAGGAGATGCTGTGCTGGTGGCGGTGCTGGCGCTGCTGGTCGGACCCCGCCGGGGGAAGGGACGCACCGCCAGGTAACTCCCGGGGCTGCCCCGCCGGCGAGGCCGGGGCCCGGCGTGCCCGCAGCGGGGGCGGCGCACCTGGGAGGGCGGCGGGGCAACGGGACGCGGAGCGGCCGGCGTCTCCCCTGGGGACTCCGACCCCGACTCCTCCTCCTGCCAAAGCGGAGATGGGCATCGCTTCGCGCCCGTCGGGGGAAGGCTGTTTGCGTGCCGAGGTCCCCGGCAGCGCGGGGCTGCCGCAAGCCGGCGGCGAGCGCCCAGCCCGGGCCGCCCGCGGAGAGTCCCCGCCGCCGAGGCGCTCGCCGGCCGGCTGCTTTCGCTCCGGAGGGATCTCCAGTCCCGCAGCTAGAGCTGGCTCCAGGACTTTTTCCTTGTGAGGAAGGGGGTGGAGGTAGGGGTGGGGGAAATGAGAGTCGGTGGGTGGGACTGCGAGGAATTTCGGTCTCTTTTTTTAATATCTATATCTGTATCTATCGTTGCGGTGGATAAGAAGCGGCTGGGCTAGTCCGTGAGGGCTGCGGAGAGAGTGTCCGCCGTCGTTCTCCCGCGGGTCCCCCGGCAGGTCTCCGTGCCGCCTCGGGGTGGCGGGGGTGGTGGGCCGGGGTCCCCGCGCCGGCCGTGGGGGAGCCGGGCCCGTCCGGGACCGCAGCCGGAGTCCGGAGGGGCTGCCGGGGACCTGGCGAGGGCTCCTGCCCTCCTGCGCTCCGGAGGAGACCGTACCGCGCCGCGGGGCAGCCGTGCGGAGAGGAGGGCGCTGCGGCGGCAGGTACCCGGCGGAGGGAGCCGCTTTAAAATCGGGGCGCCTTCTCCCTCCCTTGAGCATCCCCCAGCCTCGGGGCAAGGGTCTCCTTGCCGGAACGCGGGGGTCGGGCCCGGAGCAGCTCCGGGGCGGTTCGGAGCCTGCCCAGGCTGCCGGGGCTGCGGCAGAGGGGCTCACCCCTGTGGGTGATGGGGAACCCCATCTCGGCATCCTCGGCCCCGCATTTATATCTGCTGCCGGGGTCGGACGGATTTCCCTGCTCTCCTTCCTCCAAGCCAGACTCAGTATTTTGTGCCCCGACGGATGCGAATTTGAGGTCTTATCCCTGAACTGTACGTGGATTTATATATATTTTGGGTTTTGGTTTTTTTTGCTCTGTGTGTGCGCAGAAGAGCACATGCACATAAACAAGCACGTGTGCGTGTGTTCGTCCGTGTGTGTGTCCGTCTATTTTCTGTGGGCTATGGAAAAGACATATCCTACTGCTATGGGAGAAAAGTAGGAATAAACACGCCCATAAAAAGAAACGAAAAGCCTATTTCTACATTCTTAATTCTTAATGAAATGCACATGTCTTGGCCACCGATTTATAAAAGAGCTTAGATTTATGGAAGCACGTTAGATTAATTCAACCAGGGCTGCCTGTTTCTATTCATAGGAGGGATATATCTGCTGCGTAGGTGACCAATAGCTTGTAAAAAAGCTTGCCGTGCTATCTTTGGTTGGTTGGGTTTTTTTTGTGGTTATTATTTTTTTATACAGGAGGAAGGAGTCGTAATAAATAAATAAATACACCCTTTTAATATAAGCGTAGCCATATTTTTCTCAAAACCGTAGGAAATTACTATCCTACAAAGTTTTCCTTCTATAAATAGTTCAAATCTTAAAACAAAAGTTTGCAACCGCACACCAGATGCTGGGATGCTGGCGGTTTCCCTTGCTGTGTGACATAATTATAAGGTCCGAAAGCAAAAGCTATAGAAGTATAATAATAATACTAAGGCGACTGCTGAGGGGAAATACAAGGGAAGCAATGCCTGCTTTATTTAAAGCCAACTGCTTGTGGATCTTTTGAGCACTGCCCCGCGACAATAAGTTGTGGCGGATAAATAATGCTCTCTCGCCTTTCCCTGAGCCGCCCCCAGTTCATCCCCTCCGCGGCAGGTCACTCGGAGCTGGACCCGCGGAGCTGGAGCCGAGGTGGCTATTGCAGCCCAGCAGAGCAGAAGCGAAAGGGATCAGGAGGTGAAAGCCAACAAAGCGGAGCCTCAAAGCGACGCCCACCTCCCTCCCTCCATCCATCACTCCGGAGGGACGGAGCCGGCTGCTTTCCCGGGGAGAAAGCGCGCACGGGGCCGCTGGGGACAGGGTCCCCCAGACCCGACCCCCCCGGTTCTCCTCCGTACCACCCCCGGCACCAGCCCCCGGCTGCACTTGCTCCTTTGCCACTGTGTCCCCCCGGTCCCTCCCGGCGAGCGGGGGCAGCCGCGGCAGAGACGGGGGCTGCGGTGCTTCGCCTCCAAGCGAGAAGAAAGAGGAGTTATTTCAGTGCTTAATGGAGAGTAGCCTATTGAACTTGTCGTGTTTGTCTGGTGGGAAAATATACTTCTCTGCCTTACTAATGCTAGCTTTTGAAGATTAAAGCATAGTAGAGTCTGTTGGAGCATTATCTGCTGGTGTCTGTTTCTGCTACCCTCGCCCTCCGGAGGGGAGGATGCTTCCCAAGCTGCTATTTAGTGAACTCTCAGGGATTGTCAATGGTTATGTTAATTTTCCCCTGAGATCTCTATCCTCTTTTGGCTATGGGAACGACTCCTTGGCTTCTGCATTGCTGCTCCTTCAGGGACAGAGGGGGTGAGTTTCAGGGGGCAGGCAAGTGGAGTGCGGGGTGTCCGTGCTCAGTCTTACTTGGTGCAGGGAATGCAGGCCGGGGGAGATGGGATGCTACCCGATTATTCTGTGAGAAAACCTGTCAACAAAAATCCCACCAGATTTTTCTGAATGGAAAAGGCAATGGTGAAATGAAATGAAATAATGAAATGAAATGGAATGGGCACCACACCTCAGTGTCGTTTGTGCTGGGAAGAAAGTTAAATTATGGTCAACTACATCCAAAATTAATTTAAAACCCGACTCCTTTATAAAATTGATTTATATATTGTAAGTGTGCTATCTGATAAAGTCATCTTCTTCAGTGTGCTTGCCTGGTAACCTTTGGCCTGTTGAGGCACTGTGAACATTTTTACAACCAGAAGAAATTAGTGTCTGCCTCTCTGAAAAAGAAAACCGACTATAGCTCCAATAGCTGATGCATTTAAATGGTATATTAAATTTTGGTAATCCAATTAAATATTTAAAGTATAAAGCTGCCATTAAATAATATCAGTGTAATTAGCATAAACCTCTAAACGCCAGGATTATGCAGAACACTGGCACTGTTTCTTGCAGTGGATGTGAGAGCGTGCATGTGTCTGTACACATACACATATTCAGCTGCTTCTAAAGAAGATTGTGCTCGTCAGTTTTCCACTGGTGCACCTCTTTTACTGTTCATCTTATTTAGTGCAGGATCCATTCACCAGCAACATGAGAGTTGGTTCTGACAAAGCTTATTTGGGGATTATCTGCTAGCACATAGATACAGTTAATTCAGTTCTTTGCTATGAAGTGATTTGGAATAATTCTTAACAGAGTTTGTGTATATGTAGTAATAGCAGAACAAATGTTCAAAGCAAATACATTTTCTAACACCATAGCACAGCAAATAATTTATATTGGTGAGTAGATATCACTGCTTGGTTAGGAAATGTAGAGGAAGAAAATTCCTCTGCAAGTTTTGCATTTGTTCTGCTGGTGCTTCCACATCCTTATAATTCAATATCCTTAACAACAGGGCTTCTCAACACTTGTGGGAAGCAGATTAGAAGGAATGCAGATTGTTCATATGCCTACAGAAAAGTGGTCATGCCTAATCCCTAAAGATTAGGACTGCTGGAGAGAGTCCCTGGAGTTTACTTCTGGAGGGAGCTGCACAGGTAGAGACAGAGCCCTCAAGGGGGTAGTGGGCACAGCTTCACCAGCAGTGCCAAGCAGCCTGGCTGATGCTCCTGCTTTAGCTGGTGCAGTCAGAGTTACACAGGCTGGCCCACTCTTCCTAGCCTGGTTAGATCAGGGCAGGATCCACTTCCACGATTAAGTTGGCTGTTAAAGGGATGGGTTGTCTCTGGCTCAGTCACTGAGCTGCAGTGGAAATCCATCATTTCCCTGCTTTTGCACCTTGCTCATTTTATAACTGAGACTTTAGGGGAAGCTTGCTCTCTCAGCTCTAGTTATGCAGTGTACAATGCCCAAGGAGAGCTCTGCTGTTATATTCTCCTTTTACGTGGTACTGTGATAATGATCCTCTATAAGAGGATTTGTAAGAGGACTTCCCTCCACTTCACCATCCCTCGAAGGTGTGTTCACTTATAGACAGAACAGGTCAGTCTTCAAAGAGTATCAAGTATTTTCAGGCTCATCTAAAGCTAATGCTTTTGCTCAGCAGAAAAGAGAAAGATAAAGGGTATTTTTATGCTGGACTGCCATAAACTTGGCTTACCTGCCTGACACAGGAAATTTCCATGTATTGAAGCAGCTACACAAAGATGGGAGAATGATTGTGCTATGATTTCTTGGTGGCTCTAGGAGGTAAAGTCCAGCATCTCACTGAGACCCAGAATAAAATACCCTGTCTAAATTCAGAGAGCTCTGGTAAATCTGTGACTGGCCACTCCTCTCCACTCCTCTCCTCTCAAGCACTCAAGTCCTGAATATCCTTGGATCCAAATGCATTTGGATGAAGGCAACTCTCTCAATCCTTTGCAACAATCAGGTTCCAGGAATTAGATGTTTAGTACACCTGGAAATCACAAAATTTAATTACTTTAGAAATTAAAAGGAAAGGTGGCAGGATCCAGAATGTGTAGGATGACAGCATGGAATTACTACATATGTTGTCTTACTAA